AGGCTGAAGAGAGGTTCCAAACATTCCAACCTTTAATAGAGCCATTACAAGAATTAAAAAAAATCACATCAGAGAGGCCTCGAATGGAGATACTCCCAATGACTCCATCTAGAATATCAATGATACCAAGATTACAACCATTACAACCATTACAACCATCCACCCCACAGAAATTAGATTTTGGTCTTTTAGCATCAGACTATTTAGGAAATTACCTCAGTAAAAGTAGTATGACAGACACTACATATGGTATTAGACGAGAAGCAAATAAATTTTTTATTGGAAATAAGGAAGTTGATATTGCCAATGATGATGTTACAGTTGCAAATAAAACTTACAAGGGGACAAAAGGCTTGTGGCAGTTGTTAACTTTAAAAGAACCTGAGGATTATACTCCGGCTGATTTGCAAAATTATAAAGAAATTTTGGAAGCTACAAATGGACATTTAAAGAGTTACAAAGATGGTGCACCAATTTCAAGTAATAGTAACATACTAAATATCTTAATATAATTAAACCTCTATTTAAATCTGTTGGTGAAGGTTTGAGACAAGTGACTGGTAATAAAATAGACTATATTTATTGGGATGATCCTAATGAGCTTGTAGATAGGTTAAGACTTCTTTGGCTAAGTCGCCAAGCCGGTAACTCAGGAGTGGATAATGAAATAGATTCCATTATTGAGGAATTGAGAGAAAGTGGTATTATTTATTAAATAAAAATATGTTTATAGATAAATTTTATCGTTTATATAATCCATATAATAAGCCTGCAGAACCCAGGGCTAGTCATGAACCTACTTTAAATTTAAAAGACGATAGTTGGAATTGTTTAAGCCGTAAAATTGGTAATGTTAAAGATGGGGAGATTGTAGATGATGTATCAACTTTGGGACAAACATTAACTAGAAAAGGTGATGTATTTTTACAAGGTAAAACTAAATATGAGTTTTTAGAATCTAAGAATAAAAATTGGAATGCTAAAAAACAGAAAATTACTAATGTGGAAAAGGGTGAAAGTTTAGATGATGTGCCCACTTTACAACAGACTTTAATACGTAAAGACGGTGGTACATTTGTACAAGACAATAATAATTATGAATTTTTAGAATCAGAGAATGGTGTTTGGAATGCTAAGAAACAGAAAATTACTAATGTGGAAAAGGGTGAAAGTTTAAATGATGTGCCCACTTTACAACAGACTTTAATACGAAAAGAAGATGGTAAATTTGTACAAGACGATAATAATTATGAATTTTTAGAATCTGAGAATGGTGTTTGGAATGCTAAGAAACAGAAACTTAGCAATTTGATGGAAGGTACAGATAGTAAAGATGCTGTGAATGTTTCACAAGTTCCAAAAATGGAAGCAGGCTATTGGGATTTTAATAATAAAAGGTTAGTACGTGTTAAACATGCCATTGATGACACTGACTGTGTTACAAAAGAACAGACTATAACTTTTGATAAAAAAGAAAAATGTTGGGATGCCAAAAAACAATATATAAGAAATCTACCAATGGGAGAATATTTAGATGATATTTGTTTAATGTCACAAGCTATGTATTATGATGGATCAAAATTTGTATATGGAGGAAGAAAATTTAATTTGATGGAATACAATCCTGATTTATTAGTTGCCGACCCTACATCTTTGAGCGGATTTAAGTATATAGATAATAGACCATATATACCAGAAAACTATGTATTTAAAAGAATGGAAGATAATCTATTGATTGGGGCTAATGGTAATATATTTACAGTACAAGGAAAGAGTGATGTTATAAAAAATGAATGAAATTGCACACGAACTTCATAAGCCTGCAAGAAAGAATTTCATTAGAAGGTCTTTTAAAGTATTGGGTATAAACGAAACCGTACAAATAGATTTAATTGATATGCAAAACTATGCTAGAGAGAATTCTGGCAATAAATATATTTTAACTTTAATAGATACATTTTCTAAAAAAGCTTATGCTGCTCCACTAAAGAATAAGACAGGGTTAGTGGTTACAGAAGCCATTAAAACCATTCTACCAAAGGGAGTTAAAACATTCAATCTGACAATGGAAAAGAATTTTTTAATCAATATTTTAGCAAACTAATGAAAAACTTAAATATTAATCACTATCACACTTTTTCTACAACTAAGGCTGCAATTGTGGAGAGGTTTCAGAGAACTTTAAAGAATTGGTTATATAGGGAATTCAGTGCTCAGGGGAGTTATAAATGGTTGGATTTACTTCCAAAGTTAATTCGAAAATATAATAATAAGGTGCATAGATCTATAGGTATGAAGCCTAACCAAGTGAATATTAAGAATAGTAAATATGTGCATGAGAGGTTGACTTCTAAAGTAGTGCAAGTTAAGAAGCCAAGATATAAGGTGGGTGATAGCGTGAGAATTTCCAAGTATAAACATGTTTTTAGTAAAGGTTATACCCCAAACTGGACAGGTGAGCTATTTACAATAGCAGAAGTTAAGAATACAAAGCCTGTGACTTATATCTTGAAAGATGAAAATGGCAATATAATCAGGGGAGGCTTCTATACAGAGGAGTTGTTAAAGACCAAATATAAAGACATGTATTTAATAGAAAAGGTAATTAGGAGGAAGGGTGATTTATTGTATGTCAAATGGCTTGGGTTCCCAAGTAGTCAGAATTCATGGATTTCCACTAAGGATGTCCAAGGGAGCGCGCCATGAGCCGGGAGCGCGCCCGAGTTCGCGTACAAACCTCCCACTGTCAAGTTGATGATTTTGAGAATATACATGTGAATGCATGTGGATTTGAAATAGTAATGAAGTTATACAATGGTATTGAACATTAATATAGGCTTGTATAGGTCGAGAGCAGGATTTTTGGAATTAGTGGCTAAAAAAAGCTCACCATGTTATTCTTATCGGGAAAAACGCCCCAAGTGATGGCTCTTTCTTCTATTGTCACTACTCTACATTTACACTTGTAAGGGTCAATAAATATAAGAAATAGCTTTTTTAGCTTAATATCGAATATATTAATGGGGAATAAGTAAGAAATAAGGTTTGACAATTATATAGGGATATTTAGGCAAAGATCAGGATTTTTGGTTTTAGTGGCCAAAAAATGATCCCATGTTATTTCTTATGGGAAAACGTGCCCCAAGTGGGGTAAAACCGGTAGTTCGCCACTACTATTACTGGACTGTTCTTGTAATGTTTTGATAATTTCTCGCCGGAGGACGAAATCAGACTCTAGATTGCGAAATGGCGAGAATAATTTGTTTTAACTTATCGTGATGGAACATGCCCCCAGCGATCTATTAGCTATTCGAGTATTTGGCACATTCTTAGACATTGGGCTACTTGGATTTAACACTTCTTATATCAAATGGAATTTGTAGCCTTGGACATCATTTTGTTTAATATGGTTTTGTTGGCCATGTGTTCTTTAGTGCGCATGCGCCGTTACCACTTTTTGGTGGAGGGGACAGTGCAGCACTGAGTAGAATATCACGTAACTCATGTTCATCGTAGCCAACCTGGCTTCTAGTGCTATTGAATTTGGTTATAGCCTTCTCTAGTACACCTGTGTATTAGAGGTAGCTATAATTTGCTATAACATTTTTGCTTCCCTGTAGCAGCAAACCTTATACGGTACTCGTTAAACCTAATGTTATTTGAAAATTGAATAAATCTTAAAAGTTTATAGAAATATTTCAGTGAAAATCTAATCAGGCATATGGAAATTTTCTTATTCTGCAGGTTTGCTGCAGTAGGTGTTTAAATACTCCGTTTGTCTGTTAACAGTATTGTATATTTACCGTGAAGTAACCATGCTGATTAAGTCTGCCCCCGTAGACTTCGCCAATTCCACGCAATAAAGTTACAGGTTTATTTCCAAAATAATCCAAGGCGAATTCTATTAGTTTCTGGGTCTTTCCAGCCTGAAATTTCAAATGTTATTACCTTTCTAAGAAAATTATGACAAATTCAGGTTTACTCTGTCAAATCAATGTATTACCTTTGAAAACCTTGAAAATGAATTATTTACCTTTCTAAGAAAGTTATGAGAAATTCAGGTCTACTCTGTCAAATCACTAATGATCTACATAAACACAGATTTTAATTATATAGTAAAATGATCTGACTTTTTGTATAACGAACAGATAAAAAAAAACAAATAATAAAAAGTTACCTAATACTTTCTCTTGCTTATGACTTATGTCCAATATTGTCTTGCTTGATGACCTTAGTTTTACTTGTACCATTTACTTTCTTACTTCTTTTAGCTTGACTTCTTTAATTGCTTTCCTACAACCAACCTTATAACCTTTGGTTCCTTACCATAAATCGATTTACCTAATTCCTAGTCTTACCCGAATAACCCTACAGTTGGCACCTGTATTGTGAAACAGTTATACATATTTTATTTTACATAGTTCTTAGTTGAAAATAAAACTGTTTGGACAACTAATCCTTTAAAAAAGAACAGATACTGAAGATACAAAAAAGATTGGTATGCATGGAAGCGTCTTCGTTCATTCTCATGCGCGACTTTAAGAGTCTGAATTTTTAGTTTAATATTGAAACTATTTGTTTTTGTAATTATCTACATAATTTTATCTCATTCTCTTAAGTGCATTTACAGGTTGAATTACGTAAGGTAGTTACTATTGATTTCAGGTGGATTTCAGACAATCGGTCATACGATGCAATAAATTTGCTTCCCACTAAGCAAACCACAAGGAATAACTTTTCAATGTTTTAAATGTTTTTTTATACATAATGTATCTAAACGAAAGGTTTACTAGTTCAAATATCATGATTGTCAAATACAATCACTTTGGCGAAATTTATAATTCGACTGTTATTATTCATTTCAAAACAGAAAGATTTTGTGTGAAAGATTTTGTACAATGTTATATACCCTATATTTTTCTTAATAATGAAAATATCTCTACTCTACTTTATATTATAAATTTTTTAAGGCTTTATGTTTATTGAAAAAATATACTTACCATTGAAAATTTGATGTTCCGTCTCACTGGAACCAAAGACGAGTTTTCATCATTTTTGTGTTCCTGAAGCACAGGTTTACAAGAAAGACTTTCTTTCTCTTCATTTGTTTTGACACTAGGTATTTCTGTATGAATCACTCTATTTTCTATATGTTGTTTTAATGACGATTTCAGTTCACCTAGTTTATTTTCTAAGTCCCTAACTTGATTTACAAGACTGGCATTTTCATCTTCAACTTTTTTGTTCAAACTTCTAATGCATTTAATTTCATCTTTAAGATCCACCACCGACCTGCTGGTTTCATCTAGCTTGCTTGTCAGATCACCCACCATTTTTTTCAACTCATCGAACATTACAATATCATTGTTCACTTTAACATCTAAATCTCTTACTCGATTACCAAGTGTAGCATTTTCACTCCGTAGCTGAAGTATTTCCTTATTCAAAGATACCAACAAGTCCGACCTATCGGACAAATCACGAATACCACTTCTTTGTAAATCAGGAACCATGTTTAAAATATTTTCTAGTTTCGAGGCATCCGACAGAACTTGATCAAAGAAATCATTTTGCACAATTGAACTCGACGAATTCAGATTCGATGGGAGATTCCTTGGTTTGCAGTCTTTTACCTCCCGTGAATTTTCCGACTCACTTTCTATGGCGCACGACAGGTGAAATAGTTCCTCGCAAGGTCCTGCGCACTTGATTTTCTCCTCAGATTCAAGGATGACACCTGCACAAACACCACAGGTGTCCAACATGGTCGCACCTCACTCAACAACGCGAGCTTGAGTGCAGTAACAGTGTGCGGTTGGGTAACTTGAGTGCAATGTTGTAATTCCTCGAGCCTCGGCCGACCTCGGTACTGTCAAGTGGCGCATGCGCCGAGGAATAATGATAAATAGTATTTAACTGACCTTGAAGCCACTCAAGTTTAATGTCACGAAACTACATCATGGTATTCGATATTTTGATTGCCTATTTTGTTAAAATTAGTGACAAATGTAGTTGTTTTTTTTAGGTAAATGTCACTAGATTGATGTGCCATAATAACTAGCTGTGAGACCCATCCTAAACTGAGATCGAATTGTAGATTGGGAATTATGTAGCTGTGTAATTCGGAATAGCTGCTTTGCATTGTACTTAATAGCTGTAGCTATACAGACAATATCATTATCATACACAATACAGTATATTAACCAGCATATAGGAAAAGTGTGTCAGTCCATTGTGAAAATCTCCTTGTAAGAAAATGTCACGTGGCTATTTAATATTTCGATTGTATAGCCTACGTTTGAAATCCAACTATTTTAATATAAAACAAGTTTTCCGATCCGTGGGAATTAAAAGCCTTGAAGTAAAAAGGGGGCTACTGTATACCTGTAAGGGGGCCTGATACAGTAGCTGTAAGTATAGCTATACATGCCAACTTATATTACGTACCATACTAGTTGAAATTTGCATTACTTACGAACACTAGGTATAGAGGCCTACAGACAGACTGAACTTGATTCGAACCAAATCAAAATAAACAACTACAAAAATATAAACCACTTAACTTACATTATATTGTCAAATAAATTATATTAAAATATTTATCTACAGTATGCCGGAAAATGACTTGAAAATCGTATAAGTCGTTATAGGTAATTTATTCAAACAGATTATTTCATGGCAAAACTTTATTACATGCAAACGTTTAGGATAACTAGTTTAATAACACATTTCATGAAAATGGAAATCTGCAAGGGTAGGAACAAGCTAAATTTAGTATGATCTTTGCAATGACAATCACTACTTGTTATTTCAATCACAAACAAGGGCCCTTTTTGTCTGTGGTTAAACCAAATTATATTGCACTGAAAATAACTATAAAATGTTACCGTCGGCTGCTGGACTTAAAAAATATTAAATTTCTTTAAAAACCTGAAACCCAAAGTTACAGTTCTGGCCTCGACGTTCTTAGCGGTGCAAAATCCGTAAAAGTTTCTGATTTTTACGTCTAATGTAAATTCTGTTAGTAGGCCTATTAGGCCTAACTTGATTGATATGGCTAACCAGCCTGATCTGCTTACGTGGAAGGGTTTTGGACTTTTGGGGGGGGGAGGGGGAATTGGATAAGTTACAAAAAGATATTCTTTAGGCCTAAAAGTTTCTTTCATAACAGAAATAGTATCTTTTCCTCACTAGGGCGTAAATAGTTATTTGTGCAACTAGTGAGAAAAGTGAGCAATTGACTCACTCGAGAGAAATCCTTACTCACGAGCCGTAGGCGAGTGAGGAATGGTTTCTCGAGTAAGGCAATAGTACTTTGAACTCGAGTTGCACATTATACTTTTCCTACAGTTACCATAAAACAAATAAATTGGTGAAGAAACATAACATAGATTTTTACACAGAAGTGAACTTTTAATATAACATTTAATCTGAAGTGACAAATACAACAGTACAACAGCTGACCAGCTGATTTACAGCCAGTGCTGCCAACGTATTTCGCGCGCATACGACGTTGCCTGCATGTTACGCGCTCACTATTTCGTGCCTTCACGTTGCAAATCTGGAGTGAGATAAAGTAATTAGAGTGAGACAATGTTAACATTGTCTCACTGATGAGCGAATTGGCCACTTTGCTTTCTCAAATCAGTGAGAGAACATGTACATTGTTAGGTAACTGTAGGAAAAAGACTATTTACGACCCGAGCTAAAGTTTCAAGACGAGGCGAAGCTCTATGTCAAATCAAATCAAATCATTTATTGTCCATCCCATTTATTGTAATATAATGAGCTACATAGCAGAAATAATATATCCTACTTCTCTGTGAAGTTAAGTTGCTGTAAGATATTTAAGAACATACTAATACCCGCAACGCAGCAAACCTGCAGGCTAAGCGAACTTCCATTTGCCTGATTGGATTTTACACTAAAATGCCACCTTAAAAATATCACATTTATTCCCTATTTAAATAGAATTAATTTAAAGAGTACTTAGGTTTTCTGAAGAGGGGGGGGGGCGAAAAAGTGTTTTTGTTGTAAAATCTTAATAGTTTAGTAAGAAATGCATGTATTTTCAAAATCCGATCAAAATATGTTAAACAAGTAAACTACAACAGTTGACTTATTCTCAATAAGAATAACATAGGTAAGAACTTTAAATTTACAATTTTTTTGGAATTTTCTCCGTAACCATTAGGCGCATAATAACGCTTCACTACACTAAATTATTAGTTTTTTAAGAAAGAAATTGTGATTTTTTTTTGTTTTTAGGGTCAACAGTGGGAAACCCCTATTCGCCCCCCCCCCCCATAAAACCCCCATAAACACCCGTTCCCATAGTCTGATAATGCTGGTTCGCGGGAAATGTGATCAGATGAAGGGAAATTCCGCTCCGCTACCAGCTGTCACTGGTAACACTGGTATCACATGATTTAATTTAGAATGAATAATTACTGTCGTCTGTTAGTTGTTGATTCAGCAGGTTGTGTTGTGTTGTGTTGATACAAGATAAGATACACTTGTGTTGTGTTACCTAAACTGCTACTGCAGTTGCCGGTACTTGTGTTGGAAGATTAAAGTGTATGTAATCAGTAATCAGTTGACTGCAGAACCAGTGAGTAAAGGGTAAGCCGATTTAAGGCTATTCAACCTAACTTACATGTAACCTAATGTCTGGTTTTTCATAGGAAGTTAGTTCTTTAGTAACTTAGGTAGGCTACTTTATTTTAAAATGTTTACATTTAAATTAAAGTTGTTGGCTAGGCATATTAATTAAGGTTGAAGGATTTTGCAACTTGCAAGTAGGATATTATTATTTGAGAATATGCCCTAAATAAGGGTACTGTTTTCTTTGAAAAGTTGCCATAATTTATTTTAAATAAGTTTTAAATTGAGAGGTTTAAACAACGTTAATAATAGGCTTAGCTTAATTTCTGGTCATTTTTGTCCTCGAGTCTAGTAAAGTGACATTTTGTGAGTATAAATCAAATCTGGGAAACTGGTCCAGAATGTGTGTGGATATACTGGGAATGGGATCCTTCCCCTTTCGCACCGAATTCTGAGACGCCAACCACTATTAAAACATCCAATCAAGCTATTTATCAAATCCATTATTTAATCTGTCAAACTAAAAAGTTTAGTGATTGCATTCTTTCAAATCTGCTAAGTTAATCATTCAGCCAACAGAAATCCTTCAAGATGATTAAAATTGAACTTAATTTTTTTTATCATGCATGATCTACTCCATTAGGATTTTGAAATTTTTTCTGAAGGAGAAGGTAAATTGTGAATCCTAGTTTTGTTAGGTAGGCCTACTAAATAATGTCAACCTATTGTTCTAGGCAAGGTTCATATCATAAGAGCGCTATTGCCGTCACGCAGATTCCGTCAAGATAGCGCCCATGTCATATGTGACGGCAAATGCGTTGCGTCGATCCCGTCCTGCCAACACCGGGTGCTTGTCATATGGAGTGTCTTCCTGGCGCATTTGCAGTCACGGCACTAATTTTATTTTTAAGATGGACACCATCCAGTTAGGTAGTATAAGAATTTTGAACAAAGAGTATTATCAGAAGAATCCAAGACGATGGGGAACCCATCCGGCTCTTTCTGTACGTTTGTCAGCAGGTCAGTTTCATTTAATGTTCCAGGAACAGAGGAAAAGTATGAAGAGATATTCTTTTGTTACTGTGGAATGTCAGATTCTCTTGACAAACTTCTTAGTGCCTACAGAGGAAAATTTTCAATTGTATAAATAAATTTTTCTGTGTCAAATATGATGATCACTCCAAAAATGTCTTCCAGTTGTTCTGCCAGCAGTCGTGTGGCAAATGGGTCTCGCTGACGCTTTTAGCGCTCCACATGACAGGCTCCCCCCATCACTAGCGCCGCGTCACTAACACGACCGTCCACGTTGGCAGTGCTCAGATTCCGGCTAACGCACTCTTGCCGATGGCATTAGCGTCCGTATGACTAGCTCCATAAGAATCCCATTGCTGGGATGGAGCAGCATCAACGCAGTGGCAATAGCGCTTGTATGATATAGGCCTAAGTTAGCACCAATTAATTGATAGTCCAATGACAAAATGGCATCTGGATCCAGAAGAGATCTCACTTGAATTATTAAATTGCAGTTTTACTCAATTAAATAAGAGTTGAGTTTGAGTTTTAGTCACCTGGCCCATGACTTATATTGTTTCTTTGTTCCAGTCTGCTGATAATCAAAGGAGCTGCTGAAACTCCTGCCGTCATGTCTTGGGTTGTTAAAGCTGTAAACAGGACTCATACGGATTTTTCCTCAGGTTAGTAAAGATGTGGAAAGATCCGCCCTAGGGCAGCTACACATGGCTTGGTTTCTTCAAGGCCATGGCCCAAGTCCTGGCTTAGACCAAAGTCATTTTTATCTGATAAGCTTGGGTGTTAAACTAGAATTAGGCTTTGTGTTTTAAAATTATTTTCATTTTGTTTCTTCCACTAAGTACAGTATTGCCAACATTATTTTACAGAGACAAACAAAGAATGGAAAGAGCCTTTCTTTTTCGTCCAGGGTGCGGACACTCAGTTTGGAATGTTTGCTGATTTCACTGAAGTAACCACAGAACCAAAATGGGCAAAGGAAATCGAACTTGCAGAACTTGCTGTGAAAAAGGTCAATGAAATGAGACCAAAACCAAAGTTTTATGTTATATGTGGAGACCTTTGCCATGACTATTATGGTAAGTATTTCAATAATATTTTACACCGTAATTGGTTCTTTTGTTAGAATGTCATCAGGAAGTTTAGCCTTTCAATGAAAAAACTTTTTCAGTTAAAGTATGAATATGCCTACCCTATTCATCATATACTCAATAAACTTAGGAAATTTTAATTTATCTGTACTTAATGTAAAGTTCTCCGTAGTAATGAAGGTTAACACACTTCCAAAGGCAGTTCTGGTTCTGAAACACATATTCTTGGTACAAGAAGCATATCGGACCTCAAAGCTTTGTATTAAGTGCTCTTTCATTAGAAATTTCACTAAATACTAGTTGACTTTTAAATAGTTGAAAAAGCTTGAATTTTTTATATATCAAATAGTGCACCCTTGCTCAACAATTTAACGTCCGTTCTCAGCTGCTTTCAGGTACTGAAACATCATATTAGTTGTCTGGTAACGGTATTCGTTGTTGCGCCAAAATTTTATTAATTAGATAGCAACCAATTTATTCTAATAAATTGATGACATACTCAGCCTAGTACTTTTTTTACATAGGTACCGGTACTGCATGTTTGTAGCCTTAAAAGTTTTTATGCTATACTCGTCCTTACCGTCTTCATTAATCCTATTCAATACCTAAAAACTTAGCTGAAAATATAAGTAGGGTAGTTAATTATACCTACTAGTATATACTTATGAAAAATATTCAAAGTTATATTTTAAAAAATCTAATTAAATTACTTGATATGTTACATTAAGATATGAAAAGTAAGAGGTACCATTTTAAAAGAAAGAAAAAAAATCCAAAAGAAAACAAAAAAAATTCTAAGAAAAAACAGAAGACCTGCAAGAAAATGAACCAGTCTCTAATGTCTACTGGTAGTGTATATCCATTATACAGTATAGGTATGACACTGTAATCAAAACTGGCAGGTAAATTATGAACAACAATGCTAAATGCTTTAGAACCAATTACTAACTTAACAAGTTATTCTACAGTTTCAGAAAACTGTGATCGTTCAATTTTGGTTCTCAGTTTTACAGAAGAACGTTATTCAATTGATAGGTTTTTAGTGCTTTTATTTAGAGACTAAATAAATAGAAAAAAAATTAGAGTATAAATTTATTTAAAACTAAAAAAACAGATATATTATAACTCATATCAGTAAAATTATCAAACCCTTCAAATTAAGTACTGATTGTGAATTATTGTAGCTGGCATTGAGTAAGATAAAACCATAAATAAGTTAGTAAGATTACTTATATAAAATTCTTATATAAAAACACTTCTTGATAAACAATTTATGTGTTCATTAAAATAGACAAAGAATCTCCAATAGGTTATTTAATATTTTTAATGTTGACTTCCATGTACAGTGTGGTGCAAAAAGATTGTCGGTTTTGAAAAGAATATAACGCAAATTATTTTACACATAACTTAAATTTTACTGAATTACGTTTATAGACACTTTCAAATGCCCCATTACAAAAAATAACCTTGTAGGTTAAAAAGTTGCTCATAACCAAAAAACCATAAAAATTTAAAAACAAAAATTTAAAAAAAACCATAAAAAGAAGGTGCGGACTTCGAAGCACTGACTACGGTCTCTATGTTTTGTGGAGTAACTGCTGTCCAGTAGATTTACCACTCATGACGGACTCCCCTCAAATGGACTACTCTGTTGTCCGAAATGCAGTCACCCAATGTGATATGATCTGCGATCAGGAATCAGTCACTTATGGGCAACACCAAAATGTCAAAACAGCCATTATATAGTAATAAAAGATTCACTGTTTCTGAAAACAATGTTCCACAGCAAAAACGCAGTGCTCGACCGTCCACTGCGCCATATCGCTACAATGGATACTATGGTCGACTTGCAGATGGCTGGCAGTGGTCCTGACCCTCCACCAACTACTAGTACTACATGTAGTTCAAATCCGACCATCCTTATATACTAAGTGACACAACAAAAATCTATATTTTTCCAGGAATACAGTAAAAATCTCACTAACTCTACAACCGGTAACTTGACAGTCAACAGCTGATAAGGTGCAGGCAATAATAATAAGCAATTTTTCCAGAACATTTAGTTTCCATTTAAATTCAACATGTAATATTCGACACTTCTTTGAAGATTGTTTACTCAATATGTGAAAATACTCATATGAATTTATATATAAAAATTAGTCTGTTAAGAATTTATGTATTAAATAAAACCCATTACAAATTTCAATGTTCTGGATAACTCGATTGCCTCCGAGTTGAGTTAGTGAGGTTTTACTATACCTTAACTTATTAAAGACTATACCGTAACAAGTGTTTTATTTGAATATTTTTTTGCAGATAAAGAACCAGATGTGAGGGCAGCGCAAGACGCAGATTTCAAGAAAGTGTATAGCAAGTTAGATCCTACAATTCCTCTGGTGTGCGTTTGTGGAAATCATGACGTGGGAGACAATCCAACTTACGAATCTGTTCGCAAGTAAGACAGTACTATGAATAGCCATCCTATGATTCATTTTACAAAAATGAGTCAAAGCTACATGGAATGTCTTTCTGGAAGACAAAGCAGATAATTTCTTAAACTTTTTTCTTAAGTTTTTTTATAGCAGATAAAAATGTATAAACTAGTCAAATACACTTGGATTGTAAAATTGACACTTACTTACGTTAATTCATGTTCTTATGTAGTTCATTCATAATCCACAATAATTTAAGAAATTTAGTGCCTCTAAGGCAAAGCCTGATTAGAGGTTCGCTACTGTTAAACCAGTGGTGCAGTGGAGCGGGAAGGTGTGGGAATGGCGTTCCTACTTACCTTTTTCAAAAAAAACCTATATTGTTAAAGTGTTTTACCTACGGCCGTTTTTTTAAGTAGCCTTTTCAGTAAAGTTCTTAGAATTGAAAAGTATCTCATAACAGCATTGTTTACTTTCATAACAGCATAGTTTTACTCATAACAACGCGGGTAACGGACCAATGAGGTTCAAGGATTGAGAGAGGAGAAGTAAAATTGTAATGATTCAAAATTCAACTAATCAGCTGTTCAGGCCAATTTAATTATTGATTGGTGCAATTAGGCCTAGTGTTTGATACAATGTTTTGTCGCATCACTGTCAGTGGCAATGAGAGGTTATTAACGAAAACATAGCCTCTCTTATAAGTTATGAGTAGTGATTTTAATAATGAAAACACCGTTGGAGGTAAAGTAGTGTATGCAACTCGCGTAGTGTTAACGACACTCATAGAAGTTTTTAAGGCACTCGCCAAGGCTCTTACCTTAAATTTTCTACTCGTGTCGTTAACACTACCTTTACGCAATCGTTGTGTAAACTACTATTACATACCTGTAATGTGATAATCCAAATTGTTGCATTACAACTAGTTTTGGCTTACAATGGAGCCAATCCTCAGGTTTTTCCAAGGACATTGTCGCTTCTTCTGAAGGTCGTCAAAGTTCATAAAGATTTACAAAACATAGATTACATTTAAATCACACAATATGCATGACTAGGCCTAGCTTTAACAACACTAACGGCGGCGGTTATGTTAAGACTCCTAAGTTAGGAGTTGTTTACAGGAGGTCATTCTGTGGGCAGGTTACTTGACTCAGGTAACTTGAAATACATTAGAGGCAAGTTACCTGTCCCGTAACCTGCCTATTCTACTGGTAAACACGGCTTTACAGACTAAAACCAACCTTTTCACATCCAGGACTGTTTACCACCATTTATTTACCTTATGGTGAAGGACAGCTTGGTTCAGTTTTGCCGTCAACTTTTCTAACTTTTCTCAGGATTGAACCATCAACCTATTAACTGATTACCAAGGGAGCACTTCAACCACCCAGCTACCCTACCCAGGTATTAAATACACACTTTACATAGAACATTAACAATCACACTACAACTGATGATCATTCACATAGTTCACAATGGTTTTTTTTCAAAAGAAAGTAAACATTTTCAGGAGAAAGCTGTCACAAAACAGTCTGCTTCCTGTTTCTGTTTTTTATGAAATGGTTGCTCAAAGTAAATTTAGAATCTAGTATCCAACTAACATAGCCAGTAGCCTACTTCAAGGCGTCAAATGAAGCAACTCTTATCCCAATTAGGATTTTTACAACCAGTGTTAACCCAAAACAGGCAAAAAGTTATAAAAGTTCATTTTAAATGTTAACTGTTAATTTATTTGGTTTAAAAGCTTTACATAAGTTTATTAAGTCTTTAAGTTAAAGGTTACTGAATCTTTTCAGATACACTTCCAACTATGGTGATGACTACTTCTCATTCCATACTGGAGGTGTGTTCTTCATTTGTATCAACTCTCAGTTCTACCATGGCGCCACAAACACTCCCGATCTCGTCCAGGCGCAGGTAAAAATCGATTTCATTCATTTGGATAAACTACAAAATATAACTGAAAAGGTTCTGATGCTTTATTGTTACTCCATGACCAATTACGAGTATGTATTATAATTTTGTGTACATTCCTTTTTCCTGTGTTGAAAAATAAACATAAATCTAAACTGCAGTACCGGTAATTGAAAACGTATTAAAGGCTTAAAACATAGTCAAAGTTTGGTGTGTGTGTTAACGTCAGTGGCATTTTTATGGGAGGTCACAAAGAATTTAAAGAAAATTGTTCAAAACCCTCAAATATATTCGATTTGCTGGGATTGAACCTGTCTCTCTTGCATTAAGACATTAAACTCTTGGCTAGCAACCCCCAAAGTTTATTCAATCGTACCGTCAATTTTACTGATATTTGGTGTACTGCCCCTTTAGGTTTATGCCACTATACGTATAGTGGCATAAACCTAAAGGGGCAGTACACCAAATATCAGTAAAATTGACAGTAATTGAATAAACTTAGGGGGTTTATAACTTAATTTTGATGATTTTACAAAACTTGATTCATAGAACTATGAATCCAGTTTTGTAAAATCATCAAAATTAAGTTAAACTTATCATAATAACTTTTCTGTTATGGTGGTACTTTGTTCCTCCGACCATATGTATAAAATGAAATGTCACTTCATTGTCCAAATATTAAAATGTTTATTTAATCGCTACAAGGAAATAAAAGTATACAAATGTTTTAAAATAATAAAGAAAAAGTCCAAAAGCTAAGCTGCAAACATGAAAACTGTGAAAATTCCTGAAGAAGTTGAGAAAATAGTTCAAAAATTTCTAGAAAAATGAAGCCTAAATTTTAGCTGCTCTCATGATTTATCTGTGTGATCTTCAGCTCTTATAATTGGATGAAGAATTTTAAAAAAAATTCTTACATACTTAACTCAATCTTGTTACTTGTCATGGACCATAAAACTGATCGTTTTATACTGACTTGATTGGTAGCTTTTATGTAAGACTACAAGTTTTTGCCTTTTTTTCAAATCCATGACATCTAATAGGGTTCCACTCCAATGCCTCCTTTGCCATTTCTCCATTTTGAATTTCCTCTAGTAACTTTTTTTTGTTATCCATCTCCTTAAAACAAATTACAATGAAACTGTGAAATATTTCTTCAATTGATGTCTCTTTTACTTTGAAATGCATTTTTCAGGATGAATGGTTGGATCGCCAACTGGCAGTTGCCAAACAATCAGAGATTCCGAGTATAATGTTTCAACACGTCCCTTGGTTTGCCAGTGACCCTGATAAAACTGAGCGGAACTACTTTGAGATTGACCACGACATCCGGAAAAGGATGCTGGACAAAATACTAGCTGCAGGTATTGACAGTTATTCCTATGATAAGTTTTTTGATGCAAGATGTAACATAGAACAAGGGTTTTCATCATTAGTCTTTTAATGAGATTGGCAGATGTAATTTACTGTACACAGAGATTCACTTTGGATGAAGACTTGAAACACCAATTGTTCCTCATAGTAACAAAACAACGTTCAATTACACCACTTAGTTGAAAAAAGTTATCTTTGTTTTTATTAAATCTGCTTTGTGGCTTTGAATGAATTAGATTAGTAACAGAATAACGTTAATAAGCTTATCAAACTGTAGGCAGCGTAAAAATTGTGTTTTGCCTTACAGATTTATATATAAGCATTTGCAAAAAATCATTTTTGTCACCCACCATGTCTTTGAGATGTTAAGTAGAATTACGAGTTGATGGGCGTAATCTGACTTGGTGTACAATTTTAGCTCATTTGACCTAGTAGTTTGCGTTACCCTGAAATTAATAAGATACACAGTTACAGTCAGAACTTACTGATTTGCTGCTGCGGGTCAACACCCTGCCTCCAGACTTCCTATCTGCTGCCTTTCATTCCTTATCTGATCTTGACTTGCAATCTCAGCTTTAGCATTCACACTTTTACCTTCCTACTTGGACATAAGCCATCACTATTTAACCTATGGATGAAAATCAGCGTTGTTAATCTTGCAGGTGTGAAGTACGTGTTCTGTGGCCACCTCCACTACAATGCAGGAGGCAAGTACAAACAGCTGGAGTGTGTTGTGACGTCTGCTACTGGCTATCAGCTGGGCAGTGACACTCACGGACTACGAGTGGTTAAGGTGTACAGAGATAAGGTGGAGCACAAGTACTACCCACTGGCAGACCTACCAGCCGAAGTCAGTCTGTAACAAACCAAGTGTCTACTGGACAAACATTTATGGTTGATGATGATAGTGTTATGACTTTAGTATAGGATAGGTACCTTTTTTCGCCACTATCTATTATTAGATGACTAATTTCAAGTCATTGCCGACTTCAAAACCGCATGTTCTTGCTTTGACTCCAAGCTAAATTTTGAACCAAAATGCAATTTTTTATTGGGATAACCGTTAATGATGGCGTTTAACAAAAGACTGAAGTTAAATAGTAACAGGACTAGGTTTGGACTCCCTTACAAAAAACTGTGGCACTGGAGTTTGACATGTTAACCTTATGATTTTTCAAATTTGAAAGGAACTGGCTGTTACCCACAGGCTTCACCCCGTTTGACTTCAAGTATTAATAAAATTATTGGTTGGTTAAGTTAGTAATACAAACAAATAATCACATCTGATTTTAATAAGATAATTAATTAAAAGAATAACAAACAAATAAATACAGCTGAGGTATTTTTAACATTAGATATATGGAAATTTCCCTTTAGAAAGGAATTACGGCCTTAAAGGGCAATTTATAAAACTAGTGTCCCTGTTGCTCGAACTCGAGCAATAATTGCTAAGTATTACAGGCGTTATTTTAAAACCATAGTCTTAATTTCTGATGACTTTAAAAGATTCGACTCAAAGATTATGGAAATACTCAAGATGTACATAACCGATTATATTAATTTATCCAGGCTCTCTCGCTTTTTCCATTGTAATATTTACGCCAATCCAAGTTCAAATAGTAAATATTTCATTTCAACCAAGTCAGTAAATGTTCGTAGCAAACTGTTAAATAAGCAAACTTATTGACTGTTTACAATTAACATAATGTTCATCTTCCCACTTTTAATTTCTGACAACAGCTGGAGTTTCATAACATTTTCCCCCCATGTTAATCTTATGGAGAAATACAAAACTTTAAAGGGCCCCCAGGGCCTCACTATCTACTAATTTCCAAAAAAAGAAAGTTTCCTGCACAACTTCATGTTACGTTCTTTCCAATGACACCAAAAACATGTCAATCGGTTCAGTAGTTTCGGAGGAGTAGTTGTCACAAAAAACCTGCTTGCGTATTAAATAAGTATATAGATAATGGATAGTTTTGCGCAAGGTTTCTCGTAATGACAAACATTTTAAGTATATGGTTTATGGGGGGGTGACTTTTAGTTTTCTAAAAAATTCATGAGTACTTTGGGATTTACATAAAATGTATAAATGATTCTTAACAGCTGTTTCAATTAAACAAGTAGGTTCTATGATGTTCAATAGCATTATAAAGTTGCAAGGTTTACCAACAGGGTGCAGCAGTATTAACTTTTTGTTTGAATTTATGATAACAGCTAATTTGAATAAAGCAGCAACCAAAAGCTTGTGTTACACAATGAGAACTAAATACTAAATTGTTGTGATATCGTGCGAATAGGGTAATTTTATTTTTAAGTGCATAATTCATCAACTTATTGACTTTATTTTTTTCCCCCAAATTTGTATAAAAAAGTTGTGTCTGTTTTCCCCAAACATAATGTTTGGGAAACGTAGTAGTGTGTTAATAATTGATTTTTGTTTATTCCAATTTTTAATCAAACCAAACTATGCTTTAATTGAAGAAAATATTGGCTACAGATGGTCCATATAAATGGAATGTCTTCTTCAGTTACGCAAAAGTCAATGATGATAGCCTCATTTTCAAATCTAACTATAAAAAATCACATATCGCAAAAATAACATCCAAACAAAAGTGATATAGGCCTAATCATTAAATTAAAATAAATATTTCGTTCAGACATTGAACTGAAACTCCAATCACTCCAGATTTGAAAATACTTCTGTAACTCACCAAAACTAGTCATCTATTAATCAATAGTGGATTATGACGACAAAAGGTTCGTGATCTATATTATAGCTACGAAGGCTGAAATAGTGTTTAAGATTATGGGGGTTAGCTAGCTTTTCCCAGAAATTAGAGCTATAATTCCTGTATATAGGTTTTTGTTAGTACAACCAGTGCTTTCAAGCTATTTCCACCCAACTATTATAAAGTTAATTAGACCAACTATTTGTTAAAACCAAGTTGTTAACCAAACTTTATTTTTTTTTTACAATTTAAATATAATTATTTTAAAATTTAATATACATTAAAATATTGTTGAAAATGTTGATAAGTAACTGAGTTAATTGGTTTTTAGTCTCCAAAGTACTTTTAAATTGAATCTAAATAACTTAGCTTGTAGGCCTATCAGGTTGACTAAACTCGAGTATACCATGAGATAAGCTAGCTGACCAGACCCAAAAGTGCCTTAGCCTTTTATTTTTTACTTTCTCCCCCTATACCATAGTATATGGAGAAAGTATTGTTTTCGTCAAAATTTTCGAGTTTGAGTTTTGAGTGGATATATTCGTTTTGGGTCCCCCTGGACCCAAACAAGTGGTTTTCGAAGTGATGTCTGTGTGTGTGTGTGTGTGTGTGTGTGTGTCTGTGTGTCTGGATGTGTACAGAGCTAGAGACTACACCTGTGGTCCGATTTCGATGAAATTTGGTATGTAGGTGGATTTGGTCTAATCCATGGTATCTCCAGGCGTTTTTTTCATTTTTTTGAAATTTTGATTTTTAATGGGGATTTTCCCATAAAAACCCATAAAAAACTGGAAAAATCTGATTTTCTCAAAAATGGCCCGAACGATTTTGATAAAAATTTAGTATGTTGTAGCCCTTTAAATTCTGAACAAAATGGTACAAATCCCATTTCTGTAAAAATTACGGTTCAAAAGTTATGGTAAATTATGTTATTTTCCCATAAAAACCCCATAAAATAACGAAAAATAGGGTTTTAAACTAAAATCCGGTTTTGATTTAACATTGTATGTTATGGTCCTTACAATTGTGATAGTTTTTTTTAATTTTTTAGAAATTTTTATTTTTAATGGGGATTTTCCCTTAAAACCCCATAAAATAACAGAAAAATAGGATTTTCCCAAAAATGGCCTGAACAATTTTGATAAAAATTTGGTATGTTATAGTCCTTTATATTCTGAAGAAAATTAAACAAATCCCATTTCTGTAAAAATTACGGTTCAAAAGTTATTGTAAATTATGTTATTTTCCCATAAAAACCCCATAAAATAACGGAAAATCAGATTTTTCCAAAATTGGCTCGAACGATTTTGAAAAAAATTTAGTAGATGTTATAGTCCTTTAAATTCTGAAGAAAATTGTACAAATCCCATTTCCGTATATTTACTCTCACCGCTTACACATGATAAAGGTTGTTGACAAGCTTATGGGAGAAAGTATGTGTCAGAATGCTGATACCGTTTATTAGTACCTATATCTAAATAAGCATGCAAGCCCTTCCCAAGTGGGTTTACCATATGAAAAACCAAAGAGTGCTTAAAATAGTGATATTTTAATATTTTTTTTAGATTTTGAATTCCAAGTGCCTTGCATCAATACTCTTTTCATTTTGTTAGGTTGAGTTAAGTATATTAATATACAGAAACCTTTAGGAAATCTGATCATTCTGGTCACATACATCATCCTGAGAGTATTTCTGGCTAATTTATAATGTAGGATTTAGTTTAACATCATTTGTGAAATATTTGGTCAAGCATATTTTGGTAAAATCTATCAAGTTGAGTTTGAATAAAGAAAATAATATATTGAGTAAAAACAACAATCTACTGTTTTTGTTTTAATCTTCTACAAAAATTGGCTAAACATAGAATAAGTTAAATAAGGAATAAGAACATTTGTGAATAACCAAAAAATACAATTTAACCACCAGTATTGTTTCTGATTGCTTGATTGCCAGCTAGGAATGCTACGAGGCAAGGTTTTGGAACAATCTGCTGTGTTCAGCAGGTTTTGCTCAAATAGGAAAATTAAAATACTATTAATGTCAAAATTACTTATTAAAATTGAATTAAGTCTTTGTTTTTAGTATAAACTGGATATTCATATATTTTCGTTGGGATATGAATTTCTAAGCAGACTGTTACAAGGAACGGTTTACAGTAGCAATTGCAGTACCAAATTAAATAGATACATGGGATTTAATATTATGTTTTTGTTTGAATACAAACTACATGTGTATACGGTACCGCAATCATTTTAGTTATACAATTTTACAGTGTTGTATTTTTTTCCAAACCACCTTTTGTTAAAGACTTTTGGAATTGTGTATCTATAGTATCTAAAGGTCGTGGAGAACTGTATTAACAACATTGAGTATGTTTTAAGAGGTATAGTTAAGTTAACATTAAGAAAGATTGAAATTTGTGAAACGTATAGGCCTAGATACTTTGTACCTATTGATATCAATATTTTGTGCTATCCATTCCAGTTGATTACTTTAATAAAATCATTTTTTCATGCATCAATGACACTTTTAGTGAATTTGTCCTGTTATCGTCACACTCCTCACCTCTAAGTCTTACCATCTCTGTGACCTCAACACCGTGACCTAAGCTTCAACTGGCCCAACAGTAGTAGGAATAGCCATTTATTCCCTTGAGGAATTCTATTCCTACCTGTGGTGTACGACAGGAACTTTGCCATCAAGGTCGAGTAACCTGCTAAACCCTATTACAGCAGAGCCTCGATAGTTTGACACTTTGTGGACTTAAGGGTCATCAAACTATCGAAATGTCAAACTATAGGGAATAAATGAGGAAAGTAAGAACAATATAGAAATCACCCAAATTTATTAAATACTAAAAAGCTTAACAATTTCACTGTCCATTTGTTAAGTCTCAAGTCAACAATAAATGACAAATTAATGTTCAAGTCAGCTTACATCACAATAGTAACCATTTAAATATCACTTGACAAAATAGCTCAACCCGTGTCGAACTATCAAAGGTTTACTGTATCTTAATACGTTTTAATCAGGGAATCCCACAAATCTAGACATCTTTGATCAGCTTTAAGGATTAATTATGTGATGAAATTATTGTTAAATATATTACCTAGAACTTAGAAACTTATACAACTGAAACAGTTCAATACCTGGACTTTCATAGAACCTATATTATTATATATTTACACTTACCAAAAGAATTTGGAAACATTAATTTATAACAAGCCAGCTTAGTATTTCCTAACACGTCCCTCCCTCAAACCCAATTGAATGGATAACAACTTAACAATAATTGTACTCCATAATTAAAATATCTTGTATTATATTAGCATTAGCACCAAAGAGAGATGTTGGGTATTCAAATCCTGAACACCCACTTCACTCCTAGAATTTCTAGAAAATTACACAGCTTACCTTCTGCTATGAACATGCGTAGTACAAGGCACTGTTCAATCGTTCGGTCAGATGGTACGAGGCATAAACTTACATAAATGTTTTTCCATTTATCTTAATTTTCTCAC